CTTTGTGGGGAACACGACCCTTATCGACGAGGATGTGTATCGCCTCTGGCTAGATGGTTACTCGGGTCCGTAAGGAGCATGGGGGGAACCTGTCCGCGGAGCGGTTGTTTTGAATTGGAGACGGGGCGGGGCTTGGACTTGGGCATCCTTTAGGGAACTGGGCAGCCGCCTGGGAATAAAGGGTTTTATAATGATCGGGGATGGAATCCCTGAAGGGCCTCTGGCGTCGGCGGGGCGGGGCCTGATGCAAGCCCACACTTTCCAGTGACCGACGCGGTGGCCCTGCGGGTGCGCTCCGGAATCCTGGAGCAGACGGGCGCCACGGCAGCGGTACTGCAGAGCGACACTATGGACCACTACCGCACCTTCCACATGCTGGAGCGGCTGCTGCACGCACCGCCCAAGCTACTGCACCAGCTCATCTTCCAGATCCCGCCCTCTCGGCAGGCGCTACTCATCGAGAGGTGCTCACCCTGTGGGATGGGGGGGACATCAACCAGTCTGACTGTATATCTATTTTGCATGCTGAAACAGGCCCGGGGAGGGATGGGACTTACCCAGCCATCAGAAAGTTGAGAGCAGAAGGGGTCAGACCCAGGCCCTGCCAGGCCTGCTTTTCTCTCTTTTATGGCGGGTTAGTGGTGTTCTCTGACTTCACAAGGTACTATGCCTTTGACGAGGCCTTCGTTCGGGAGGTGCTGGGCAAGAAGCTGTCCAAAGGCACCAAGAAAGACCTGGATGATATCAGCACCAAAACAGGCATCACCCTCAAGAGCTGCCGGAGACAGGTGGGCACTGCACCTACACGGGCCCGGCATGCCATCTGTACGTCACTCCTTCCCTTTGGCCACTGCTGCAGCTCCAGCCTCTGATTGTGGCAGCAGCTTCATACCTAGTCTTCTCCTCCTTTCCCGTTTTCCCCCTTCTTTTTGTTTTATGACAGAGTCTTGCTCTGTCGCCCAGGCTGGAGTGCAGTGGCATGATCTTGGCTCACTGCAACCTCCAGTCTCCTCCCCTGCCCCCAGTTCAAGCGATTCTCATGCCTCAGCCTTTGCAGTCGCTGAGATTACAGGCACCCACCACCACACCTGGCTACTTTTTGTATTGCTAGTAGACACAGAGTTTCACCATGTTGGCTACACTTGTCTTGAACTCCTGTCCTCAAGTGATTACCCACCTTGGCCTCCCAAAATCCTCCTGGGATTACAGGCGTGAGCCACTGTACCCAGCTCCCTTTTGCCCCTTCTAAGCTATCCCGTACTCTATGGCCAGAGTGATCTTTCAGAAGCCCAGATCTGACCTGAAAGTTTATCAGACCCCTTCTTATAAACTTCTTCCATTGGCTCCCACTGCCTCCTGGGTGGCAGCTGCACTCCTTGGCCTTAACCTATGGACTGTCCTGTGATCTCATTCCTGCAGACATTTCTAAGCTTACATTTCTCCAGCCCCAGGCTTTCCTTTACTCATGTTGCTTCTACCTGGAGGGTACTGTTCTTGGCAGTATCTACCCCTTGAAATCCAAGACGGGAGGTGAGATGCCACCTTCTCCACAGCCTTTTTGGTATACTAGGAAGAAGTAACCCTTCTGGGCCTTTGATGCCTTTCTTTTGTATCTCCTGTGAGCTTCCTGTGTATAGCTTAGCATTTACTTATTTTTTTTAGTTCCTGGGGCTTAGCCAGGAAAGTCTCTTCCAATTCAAACTCCTAAAGATCTAGAGAGCATGGTGCTTAAATGGGGTTGGATTTAGAGACAAGATTGAGTAAACATTTATCCAGGGCAAGATACGGCAGGAGCTGATAAGCATTTGAGTTGATAACAAGTACTAATAACTAATAGTTGATTGAAGGAATGACAAATGCTAAATCAGTCTCTGCTGACCGGATAGGTGGGTGGGTAAGGGAGGAATGTTCAAAAAGCGGTTTATTGGGTGAGTGACATGGTGGGCACTCTGACCCGTCCTCTCTCCTACCCTAACTGCCCTGCAGTTTGACAACTTTAAGCGAGTCTTCAAGGTGGTAGAGGAAATGCGGGGCTCCCTGGTGGACAATATTCAGCAGCACTTCCTCCTCTCTGACCGGTTGGCCAGGTGAGGAGCTGCCACCTCCCCATCCTGCACACCACTTCCCTGGGCCCTAAGGCTGGTCCAGTTTCCCTGCCCCAACCCTTCTGACCTCCTCAGTATGCTGGGGGGATAATTATCCCACTTTTGGCCTCTACTTTTTTTGAGACAATTTTACTCTTGTAAGACTGGAGTGCAATGGTGCAACCTTAGCTCACTGCAACCTCCGCCTCCCAGTTCAAGCAGTTCTCCTGCCCCAGCCTCCCAAGTAGCTGGGATTACAGGCATGTGCCACCACACCTGGCTAATTTTTGTATTTTTAGTAGAGACGGTTTCACCATGTTGGCCAGGCTGCTCTTAAACTCCTGACCTTAAGTGAGCTACCTGCCTTAGCCTCCGAAAGTGTTGGGATTACAGCCGTGAGCCACCGCACCCAGCTTGGTCTGATCTTTGGACCAGACTGATCTGGATTCAAAGCATAGTCCAGCAATTTCCAGTTGGGCTATTGAGAGGTGCCACACTTAGGGAGTGCTCAGTAAATGGTAACTGTTACCCTTATGGTCTCACACTGCCATTAGAAAACTTGGGCTGGAAACTTCTCTTTGCATAGATGAGGAGGGGCATAGAGAGGTGACTTGAGACACATCACACAGTGACTTAAGGCAGAGGGAGGCCAGAACTCCGACACCCAGTTGAGGTTGCAGGTAGGTGGGAGCTGCTTCCTAAGAAGGAATTTTAAGCCCTGAGAGGACTGTCCTCTCTTCTGTGCAGGGACTATGCAGCCATCGTCTTCTTTGCTAACAACCGCTTTGAGACAGGGAAGAAAAAACTGCAGTATCTGAGCTTCGGCGACTTTGCCTTCTGTGCTGAGCTCATGATCCAAAACTGGACCCTTGGAGCCGTCGGTGAGGCCCCCACTGTCCCAGGTGCCTGGAGGCCTCCCCATCCTCAGGACCTGGTTCCCCACCAATAGTTTCTCCCACAGGCCCCCAGTTCCCGGCATCCACTGGTGTTCATGGCCCCCACCCAGGCTCCCCCGGCTCATGGGATGTTTTTCCCACACATGCCTTGTCTGCAGACAAAGGTCCCATTGCCTCTGTGGCCCGGGGCATGTCACTCCCCCATCTTGGCCACTCCATTTCCTCTTCTGCCCCCTGGGGTGGTTGGTGAGGAAAGGCTGAGGCTATCGAGGGAGGGGTTTTTATCACCTACCCCAACTCCCTTCCTGGCCTCATAGACTCGCAGATGGATGACATGGACATGGACTTAGACAAGGAATTTCTCCAGGACTTGAAGGAGCTCAAGGTGCTAGTGGCTGACAAGGACCTTCTGGACCTGCACAAGAGGTGACCTTGTAGGCGGTCCTTGGGGCAGGGCCTGCAGTAGAGGCCCAAGTGGCTGTAGGCGTGACCCTGTCTCTCTGTAGCCTAGTGTGCACTGCTCTCCGGGGAAAGCTGGGCGTCTTCTCTGAGATGGAAGCCAACTTCAAGGTCTGTGGTCCCATCTAGCCTCCATCCCTTTGCATCTTCAGCCTCCAGATCACCACCCCTACCAGGCAGCTCTGCCCCTGCAGGGGATTGGCCGGCAGGTGGCGGTACTGCTCCCTCTGGCGGCCACTGAGGGGAGCAGCTCACAAACAATGGGAACTTGGTTGATGGAGGGAGGATGGATCTGGGGAGGGACCTGCTCCTCCCCCAGCTTCTGTGCTCAGCTCCCAACTTCTGGGGCAGAAGGCAGAACTCCCAGGATCCCTGCCCCACAGAACCTATCTCGGGGGCTGGTGAATGTGGCCGCCAAGCTGACCCACAATAAGGATGTCAGAGACTTGTTTGTGGACCTTGTGGAGAAGGTGAGCTGTCATGCCCTCTGACCCCCAACCTGGCCTGTCCCTGGCCTGTACCAGTGCTGAGTATTCCCTTGGGCCCACAGTTTGTGGAACCCTGCCGCTCCGACCACTGGCCACTCAGCGACGTGCGGTTCTTCCTAAGTCAGTATGCAGCGTCTGTCCACTCCCTCGATGGCTTCCGGTGAGCAACCCTGGCCTCTTGTCCAGCTTGGCCTTGCCCCAGCCAGCCACCTCCAGGGACTTGCCTCCTACAGACTCAGGGTTACCCATTCTGCTGCCCCCGGGGTGGAGGGAAGTCTCTGGACCAAAGTTCTGGCTCCCCATCTTAGAAGCTGTGTGATTGCTGGGCGCGATGGCTCATGCCTGTAATCCCAGCACTTTGGGAGGCCGAGATGGGCAGATCATGAGGTCAGGAGTTTGAGACTAGCCTGACCAACATGGTGAAACCCCATCTGGCACCTGTAATTCCAGCTACTCAGGAGGCTGAGGCAGGAGAATTGTTTAAACCCGGGAGGTGGAGGTTGCAGTGAGCCGAGATAACACCATTGCACTCCAGCCTGGGCCAGAGAGCAAGATGCCATCTCAAAAAAAAAAAAAAATCTGTGTGATTTGGGGCAGGTTTCTTAACCTCTCCATGCCTCAGCTTCCTCAGTGAACTGGGGTTCATCATGAGAAGAACTGAAGCATTTTCTGAGGGCAAATTGAATGAAGGTGTAGAAAGTGTTCAGGGCAGGGCCTCCCGCCATGGTGAATGTTGGGAAAACTCAGCTGTCACTGTTCCTGTTCTTACAGACACCAGACCCTCTGGGACCGCTACATGGGCACCCTCCGTGGCTGCCTCCTGCGCCTCTATCATGACTGAGACTCCTCCCACCACCCCACCCACACTGACAATAAAGCTGCCGTGAGTTTGGAGATTGGTCTTTGCTCTGGGGAGCAGGTTGGGGGCATGCAGATGTGCCTGTGTCTGTGTCTGAGCACCTGGTGTCCATGTACAAGGATGGACATGCACAGCGGCCTCTTGGGAACTGGGACGTTTATCAGGGAATGGAGTCTATGCTCGACCCATCCACTAGAAGAGTCTACTCACAAGCCAGAAGTCTCATCTTGGTTTATTCAGGCCGTACTGAGAATGAGAGGATGGGCAAAAACCTGGGGATGGGGCTGGCGAGGAGGCAGTTGGCCTAACAGGACAGAGCTGAGGGGCCAGGTGGGTTCAGGGAGGGCAAGAGAATTGGGGCTTCACATCCGGTTTTTGCACGCGGGCAGTGACTGGGTACTTGGTGATGCCGCAGGTATTGCTCCCTCGGTGCAGCCGGAAATAGCCCTAGGAGGTTAGGGGACATGGGGGCGGGCAGATGGGAAGAGGCCTGTTCTGTGCCCGCCTCCACCAATAGACCACACTCACCTCCTCTCCCCATTGGGCCCCCCAGGAATTCTTCAGGATCCAGTATGGGGTGGAGCGTGGATGCCGAGACTGGGATGAGACTGTCTCAGCCCCCATCCCCTCTGACTTGTCGCTGCCAAAACCCACCAGCAGGGCACTGTGGTCCACAAACTGGGGGTCACAGGTGGTGGGCCTGGCCTTGATCACACCTTTCTGGTATAGCTGCAGGGGGTGGGGGCCAAGGTGCTGAGTGTGGGGCCAAGTCCCCTGTATGCCCCTCCCCCATCAGCTTCCCCATCCTACCTTCAGGTACTTCATGTTGATGGTCACCGTGATGGGGCCGTAAGTGGCCAGGTACTGGGCAATTCCTGGGGATGGGAGCATCATCAGACCCTTGCCACATGGGCACGTGGGTCTCTCTCTCGCTCCCTCGCTCCGTCCACCCCATCTTGTCTCTATCTGTAGCCTGGTAGCCCAGCTGTCTGCCTCTGCCCTGGTGTCTGTCCCTCCCATCCGCCTGTGTCTCCGCCCTGCCCGCACTCTGCTCGTTGTCCGGCAGAAAGATGAAGTCCTGGATCCAAGCCACCTTGTTGTACATCTTGGCGTGGCACCTGTGGGGTCTGAAGTTGGCTTGGAACGGGTAGTCCCTTTCACTGGCCACGCCGCCTGCAGATAAGCAAGACAAGGAGGGGGCTCCGATCCTGCCCACCCCGTCACCAGGCAGAGGTCCAGAGTGGCGGGGGTGGTGCACTCACTGTTGTTGAGGACAGTTGAGAACGCTTCCCAGACGTAGCCTCCGTGGCAGCCATCCCCACAGCGGCCACAGTCCAGCAGCTCTGGTGTAAGAAGGGACAGTGTAGGTGACCAGGGCCCTAGGCCTCCCTCCTCTGTCACACACGAGCCCTCTCCCAGCCCTACCCTGTACAGAGACGTTCACGAACTCCAAGAAATTGATACCCCACAGTGCCTCGATGTTGCCTGCCGCTGCCATGGCCCAGCAGCATCTGCAGTTTCCCTGGAGGGCGAGAGGGTAGGGTGGGGCTAGGTGTTCAGGCCCGTCCCTCTCCTTCCCACCACTAAGCTGAATTGGAGCGAGCTGGGTGAGAACCAGATACCTGGTTCCTGATGGATGAGATGGCGCCGGCTACCTTCCGCCAGTCACAGGTGTGAGGCACTGACTCCTCTGGCGCTTCAGACCCTACCACTCTGCCCATGCCGGGGACCCCTCCAGCTGCTCTCCGATGTCCATAGAGCTGGCCAAACTCCTCCTCTGGGGAACAGACAGGGCCACTGAGGTCTCTGTTTTGACCGATTTTCCCTATTCTCCCACTCCCACTCCAGCCCTTGGCCGTTTTTGTCCTATAATGCCCTGAGGGGCAAAAAGGCAAGGATGGCTCACACCTGTAATCCCAGCACGTTGGGAGGCCAAGGTGGGTGGATCACTTGAGGTCAGGAGTCCCAGACCCCATCTCCACAAAAAATACAAAGATTAGCTGGCTGTGGTTGTGCAGGCGTGTAGTCCCAGCTACTTAGAAGGCCAAGAGGTGGGAATCGTGTGATTCTAGGAGGTGGAGACAGCTGAGATTGCACGGTTGCACTCCAGCCTGGGCGACAGACAGAGAAAGACCCTGTCTTCAAAAAAAAGGCAGGGGTGCTGAGCCTAGAGGGGCTGGGCTCCCTGCTGGGTGCTTCCCTGCAGCTGCTACACTGGCCCCAGGGCTGGGCTGGGCTGGGTTGGAACACAGGGCTGCAGAGATTCCGCCCCTGCGCTGGGTGATTTGATGCCAGCACCCAAGCCCCCGGTAGTCAGGGAAATGAATTTCCTTCTCTGGGAAGTGAAAGTTGAAGGTCTGCTCAGTCCAGCTGCCAGTGTCCTTTCCCCACCCACCACCTACAGGCCCGGAAGGTTGATGGTACCTGTGAGGTCACTGAATGGAGTCACCCCAAACTCAGCTGTGCCAAAGTCCTCCTCCTGCAGCCGCTGAGCCTGGGCGAGGTTGTGAGCAAAGATGTCCAGGCGGCGAGCGTGTTCTGGACCAAGAGGGAGTTGTCCTAGGCTGGCTCCCAGGCCCTCAGGGGCAGGAAGTAGGCTGGCTGGGTACCCTTCCACCCACACCCACCCAGTTGAGCACTGGCTCCTTTCCTGTAGCCCCCACAAGGCCCCACTGCAGACACCCAGGCCAAGGAAGTGGTTACCCAGTCCACCTAAGGTTAGGTTTTCTCCAAAGGCAGTGAGAGGACCATCTGTGGTCACCCTAGGTGGGCAGCCAGGCAAGGGATTTGGTGGCGGTGACTCAAGGAAAGGGGATATGGTTGGAGACCAGCTTCCTGCCGGGCCGCCTCCTTTACACCTCTGACCACAGGAGGAGAGCTGGAACATGGCAGGGGTAGGAGACGACAGGGTACAGGCAGCGTGGGCTAAAAGTCACACACAGACCAGCCCCCTGTGAGAGCACAGCGAGAGGGCAGAGGCAGGGATTTTATCATGGGATAGAGAAGAAGTCCCCAACTGGGGGACAAAATGGGTGTCCTTGGGTGTTTGCTGAATGAACGCATGACTAGGGGGTGGTTCCCTGCTCACTGCCTAGAATCATAGGGAAGTGACTGTGGAGCCAGGGGACCACACAGGAGTAGGGCAGGACCCCACCACCTGCCACCACCCTTCAGATCCATAGCAAAGAATGATCCTGGACCCACTCATGCCTTTGGGAAGCAGGGAGTACACCCCCAGCCCTGCCCTGTTCTGCTGAGTGGCCTTGGCCATGCCTGTTCTCCACCTTAAGCTTCGATTTCTTCATCTATTAAAAAGTGAGATGGCTGGGCACGGTGGCTGACGCCTGTAATCCCAGCACTTTGGGAGGCTAAGGCAGGCGGATCACCTGAGGTTACGAGTTCGAGAGCAGCCTGGCCAACGTGGTGAAAACCTGTCTCCACTAAAAATGAAAAAGCAGGGCTACTCGGAGGCTGAAGCAGGAGACCCGCTTGAACCTGGGAGGTGGGGTTGGAGATGTACGTGGCCTGTGATACCTTCTGGGGTCAAGTAACTCCGGTTGAACTGGATCTGGAAAAGCTTGAAGGCCTCTTTCAGCTCCAGCGGCTGGGGACCTAGGTCCTGGCAAGGAGCCAAAGGTGGAGAGGGGCAGTGGGCAGAGGAATCATTTTGGGGACCCCACCTTAGCTCCCACCTGTGCAAGGACTGCACTGGGGGCAGCCGGTTAGCTTTCTCTGTCTTCCCATGTGCCCTTGGGTATGTCAGCCCCCTCTCCAGCCTCAGTGACTCCCTCTGAAAAATGGGAATGACAGGCCAGCTGTTTCTGAAGGGGTGATACCAGGTGTGGGACTGGCAGAGGTAAGGGTTTAGGAGCACTTACCTGGGCCATAAGGGAGCCTCTGATGCCTTGGGCTAGGCCTGCCACCAGCAGGGCCAGGAGGCAGGAGGGATGGGCAATCAGAGCCATGGCAGTGCAGTCTGAAATGGTGTGGAGGCAGGAAGCCGTGCAGATGAAGGTAGAGGGTGTGAGGGCGGGGCTGGAGAAACCACAAGAGGGAAGCCAGGCTGGGGGGTGGGCAGACCCCCAGAGCGCATGAGTTGCTCAGGCCTTCAGGCTTTCAGTCCTCTGCCTCGCTGCTCCCCACCCCACTCCTTTTTCTTTTTTCTTATTCTTTTCTTTTCTTTTTTTTTTTTTTTTAGATGTGTCTTCCTCTGTCTGTCACCCAGGCTAGAGTGCAGTGGCACAATCTCGGCTCACTATAACCTCCACCTCTGGGGTTCAAGCGATTCTCCTGCCTCAGCCTCCTGTCTGAGTAGCTGGCACTACAGGCCCATGCCACCACACCTGGCTAATTTTTGTATTTTTAGTAGAGACGGGTTTTCACCATGTTGGCCAGACTGGTCTCAATCTCCAGATCTCGTGATCCACCTGCCCCAGCCTCCCAAAATGCTGGGATTACAGGTGTGAGCCACCACACCCAGTCCATTCCTTTTTCTTTATTCAGCACAGGCTCTCGGCCCACCCTGTTCTGGGCAATTCTACAGCTACAGAGATGGATCTGTCTGTCCTTAAGGAGACGAGGGTGAGATAGATGCTAAGTGGGCAGTGACAATATATAGACATCAGTGGGGATCTCAGCGGGCAACGGGAGCCACAGGCCCCGATGATAGGGCGGGGATGGAGGGAACCACTACAGAACCACTTTTTTTTTTTTTTTTTTTTTTTTTTGAGATGAAGTTTTGCTTTCACCCAGGCTGGAGTGCAATGGTGTGATCTCAGCTCACTGAAACCTCCGCCTCCTGGTTTCAAGCAATTCTGCCTCAGCCTCCCGAGTAGCTGGGACTACAGGGGTGCACCACCATGCCCAGCTAACTTTGGTATTTACAGTACAGACGGGGTTTCACCATGTTGGTCAGGCTGGTCTCGAACTCCTGACCTCAGGTAATCCACCCGCCTTGCCCTACCAAAGTTCTGGGATAACAGGTGCGAGCCACGCGCCTGACCAAGAGAACCACTGTTACTCATCCTATAAAGCTCAGTCAGGTCAAGGGCTGTCTCTTTTTTTTTTTTTTTTTTTTCTTTTCAAGACGGGGTTTCACCATGTTGGTCAGGCTAGTCTTGAACTCCTGACCTCAGGTGATCCACCCGCCTTGGCCTCCAAAGTGTTTGGATTACAGGCCTGAGCCACCACACCCAGCCCAGGGCTATCTCTTTCAAGAAGCCTTCCCTGCTTCCCCAAACTCTGGTAGAAGCTTTGTAGCCCCTTGAGCCCAGCTGCACCTGTGCCCATTGGGCATCTGCCTCCAGTCACACCAGAAGTGTCTGGTTCACTTGTGTCCTCTGTGGCTAGCACAGAGTAGGTGTTCGCAGCATGGGTCCTTAATGCTCTAATATGGGGCAAAGAGGGTCATGAAGCCTGTGAGACTTGAGTGCAGGTCCATCCTTACTACTCTGGCTGCACCCAGGACAAGTCTCTCAGCTTCCCTGCCTGTGAAATGGGGTGGTAGCAGCACTCCTTTCCTGCCTTGCGGCTTTTTTGTTTGTTTGTTTTGTTTTGTTTTGAGACAGGGTCTTGCTCTGTCGCCCAGGCTGGAGTGTAGTGCCATGATCTCTGCTTACTACAACCTCCACCTCTCAGGTTCAACTGATTCTCCTGCCTCAGACTCCTGAGTAGCTGAGACTACAGGTGTTCACCACCACACCCAGCTAATTTTTGTGTTTTTGGTAGAGACTGGCAGGCTGGTCTCAAATTCCTGACCTCAGGTGATCCACCCACCTCGGCCTCCTAAAGTGCTGGGATTACAGGCGTGAGCCACAGTGCCTGGCCTCTTGTGGTATTATTTACATACTATAAAATTCACCTTTTGGAAGTGTACAATTCAGTGAGTTTTAGTATATTTGCATAGTTGTGTGACCATCACTACTATCTAATTTTAGAACATTTTCATTATCTTAAAAGAAATCTCAGACCCATTAGCAGTCACTCCCCATTTCCCACCTTCCTCTGGCAACCATTAATCTACTTGCTGTCTTTCTGGGTTTGCCTATTCTGGTTATTTCATGTAAATGGAATATGTGGCTTTTTGTGTCTGGCTTCTTTCACTTCACATATTTTCAAGAATTCACCTATATTGCGGCATGCATCTGTACTTCATTCCTTTTTATGGCTGAATAATGTTCCACTCTATGGATGTACTGCATCTTGTTGTTAGTTGACAGACTTTGGACTGTTTCTGCATTTGGCTCTTATATACAGTGCTGCTATAAACATGTACAGATTTTTGTGTGTGTGCATATCTTTTTTTTTTTTTTTAAAAGACAGGGTTTCACCATGTTGGTCAGGCTGCTCTCGAACTCCCGACCTCAGGTGATCCGCCTGCCTCAGCCTCCCAAAGTGCTGGGATTACAGGCGTGAACCACTGCGCCCAGCTGTACATATCTTTTTAATTATCCTAGGTATGTATACCCAGGAATGAGATTGCTGGGTCATGTGATAACATTTTGAGGAACTGCCAGACCCTTTTCCAAAGTCACTGCACTATCTTACTTTCCAACCAATGGTGCATGAGAGCTCCATTTCTCCATATGTTTGTTAACACTTGTTATTGTCTTTCTCGTTTTAAAGAGCTATTAATATTAGTAGTAGTAGTAATAGTATTTTGAGACGGAGTTTTGCTCTTGTTGCCCAGGCTAGAGTGCAGTGGAGCAATCTTGGCTCACTGCAACCTCCGCCTCCCAGGTTCAAGCGATTCTCCTGCCCCAGCCTACTGAGTAGCTGGAATTACAGGAGCGCGCCACCACGCCTGGCTAATTTTGTATTTTTAGTAGAGACAGAATTTCTCCATGTTGGTCAGGCTGGTCTCAAACTCCCGACATCAGGTGATTCACCACCCTCGGCCTCCCACAGTGCTGGAATTACAGGCGTAAGCCACTTTGCCCGGCCTTATTATTTTTTAAGCTGGAGTCTCACTCTGTCACCCAGGCTGGAGTGCAGTAGTGTGATCTGGGCTCACTGCAACCTCCATCTCCCGGGTTCAAGTGATTCTCCTGGCTCCTGAGTAGTTGCGACCACAGGGGCCACGACCGTGGCTAATTTTTGTATTTTTAGCAGAGACCGGGTTTCACCATTTTGTTCAGACTGGTCTCGAACTCGTGACCTCAAGTGATCCACCTGTCTCGGCCTCCCAAAGTGCTGGGATTACAGGCGTGAGGCACTGCGCCCGGCCCCTTAAAGAGCTGTTATTTAACCACCTGGGCCCAGCGGCTGGGAAGGATGATGGTGGCAGAGTGGCGAGGAGGGGGCACTGCGCAGTTCACCTGAACCCCAGGCGCTCACCTCGGCACCCACCAGCAAGTCCCCTCCTGGGCAGGCTCCCTTCCCGGGATCACGTTGAGGGTAACTGCGGGGATTAGCGTGGATGGGAAGGGAAAGGAGGGGCGAGTCCCCAGGTGGGGGATCCCCCGGACACGCAGTGCCTTCCTGCCTGGCCCCGCCCAGAGACGTGGCCAAACGGTGACCACGCCCCTTCCTGGGAGCCAGCCCCGCCCAGACCCCGCCCCAGTAACACGCCCCCACTTGGGGCGGTGGCGGAAACCCGGCGGGGGACGCGGGTGGGAGGAGGTCGGGGAGGTGCGTGGGCACCCGACCCTAGCATCCTGCACGTCCGACATCAGCCCTGCCCTCCTTCTCAGGGGCTTCCATTCATTTTGTGCCAAAAGGGAACTGACGCCCCTGCCCCAAAACTTGTAGCTTTGTGGGTGGAGGGTGTGGGGAAGGCAGTGCGCAGTGAACGGACCACCGGAGTGAAGACGGTCCCCGGGATGGAGGGCAGGAGGGAGCGAGAAGGACAGTTCTGCTCCTGGGAGCCTCTCGTTCCTGGGCAAGGGTCTGGGGACACTGGATGAAGTTTTAAGATCTTGTAGAATGATAGTCTGGGGCAGAGAATAAAATTCTGCAGGGAGGAGATTGAGGGTCTGTCTGGAGGACTGGTTAGGTGGGCTCTAGGTACCAAGGGCGATCTCAGGAGGCGCAGAATGTGAATCTGAGGGCTCCGAGATTACGGTGTGGGTGCACAGGATGGAATTCTGGGGGTGCAGATTAGGTAGGATCTAGGTGCGCAGGATGACATTTTTGGTGAGCGTCTGGGGGACCCCGGGTGAGTCTGGGGTCCTGGCATTAAGGTCGAGCGCTGGGGGACCCTGGACTGGCGCCGGGAGGAGGCTCCGGGCGGCGCCGCGGGGGACCGAGTGGGGGCCTGTGGCTGGCCGGGGGCGGAGAAGCTGGGGGTCGGGGTCCCTCCCCCTGGCGCGGGCTCAGGAATCCGCCGAAGGGCGGGCGGAGGCGCCGGGGTGGGCCGCGCCGCGGCAGGCGGGCGGGCGGGGGGCGCTTCCTGGGGCCGCGCGTCCAGGGAGCTGTGCCGTCCGCCCGTCCGTCTGCCCGCAGGCATTGCCGGAGCCAACCGAGCCGCCAGAGCCTTGGGCCGCGGGGGCGTCGCGGGCCCAAGTGAGTGGCCATGGCCGTCTGTGGGGGAGGGTGCGGGCCAGAGTTTCGGCCGAGTCCGCGGCAGCGTAGCGTCCAGAGGCCAGCGTTCCTCGGCCTTCTCCGCAGGGGCACGGGGCGGGGGCGGGGTGGCTGGGGTGAGTGGGCCCGGGACCTGGGGCTGCGGGAGGAGTCGGCCCCCAGCCCTTGGAGGCCCCGGGGCCTAAGCACGGTCCTCAGCGGGCCACGGCGGGGGCTGGGCTTGGGATCCGGTACAGGGAGTGGGGGTGCCGCGGCAGAGGCCCCTGACCCGTGTCCACCACCTCGCAGCCCCACGATGCTCCCCTGCGCCTCCTGCCTCCCGGGGTCTCTACTGCTCTGGGCGCTGCTGCTGCTACTCTCTGGGCCAGCGTCTCCTCAGGATTCCGAAGAGCCCGACAGCTACACGGTGGGGCAGTGGAGGCCGCTGGCCTGGGAGGGATGGGCAGGGAGGAAGGGACCGGGACCCCGGAATGGCTACTGTCGGGGAAGAGTCTCCCTCCCGTGGCTGGTGGAGGGCTGGGGGCCACTGTTGGAGTGGGTGGGTGGAGGGTGGCCAGGCTCAGGCCCTAGTCTTGGCTGGCCAGTTGGAGGAGATCTGAGGTTGACCACTGGCCACTTCTGGTTCCCTTCCAGGAATGCACAGATGGCTATGAGTGGGACCCAGACAGCCAGCACTGCCGGGGTGTGTGTGCCTGGGGGACCAAACACCCCCAGGAACGAGGAAAGGGATTGATAGCTGCTTTCCAAGGGACAGCCCCACCTCCAAGAACTGCAGCAGCCGGTCCTGTGCCCAGCTCTGCTGCACTGAGGCCAGCTCTGGTTCTCTGGAGGCCAGTTCAGCTAGGGGTGGCCTCGCCCTCTCCCAGAAACCCAGGAAACCTTGCCCCTATCCCTCAGAAGAGCTGGATCCTGTACGCCTTCTCTGAACTACTCTCCTGTCCCAGCTCTTTGTCTCATCACAACCTGGGAGGGCAGTGTCCCCAGGGGTGGGTAAGGAGGTACCCCTCTTGGGCTGAGCTAGGGCCAGGGCTGTGGGGAGGGATAGAGACCCACTTGCAGGCCAAAAATAAGGGCAACAGTGGGAACTGCCGCCCCACTCCAGCCCTGGCTGACCCTGGGGAGGGGTCCTGGGCAGACAGCCTCAGCTTGCTGAGTAGAGTGGGAAGGCTTTTCTGGGGCCATGCATCTCAACATCTCGGAGAAGGCCGAGCTGGGCTCCTGCCTCCACTCCCTCCAGGGCCAGCCCAGGAGACGGGCTGTGCCCAGCAGGTCCCTCTCTGCAGATGTCAATGAGTGTCTGACCATCCCTGAGGCCTGCAAGGGGGAAATGAAGTGCATCAACCACTACGGGGGCTACTTGTGTCTGCCCCGCTCCGCTGCCGTCATCAACGACCTACACGGCGAGGGACCCCCACCACCAGTGCCGCCTGCACAGCACCCCAACCCCTGCCCACCAGGCTATGAGCCCGACGATCAGGAGAGCTGTGTGGGTGAGTGGGGACTGCTCTGGCGCCTGGCTTCCAGTCCTCTCACCAAGCTTTTTAAACTCAGACCTCATGTTCCTCCCCGGCTCAAAAGGGCCACTAGTGATGTCCACACCCTCATCCAGACACTCAGGTTGTTTGGGACCTGCCACAGGTGTCCCCAGCTCATGTGCCACTGTTCCAGCCAACTCTGGGCCTCTCCCCTCAGTTGCTACGGAGACATTGCAGGAACTCTGCCTTCCAGTGTCTGTCCCCTGGGAGCCTTGGGCCTTGGAGGAAGGAGGGTGCAGGAATCAGTCTTGCTGGGAGTGTGTGGACAGGACCTTATCCCTATGCAACCCCTAACATGTGGTGGAGGTTAGGGGTGCCTTTCCTGTTGGTTCCCGGGTACTGAACTCTTATGTGTGCTGTTGAGAGGACTGAATCCAAGTGTGGGATCTGTCTGTTATACTGGGTGGTGTGCAGGATCCCAGGCGGGGGCTCAGTGGTGTCTCTCACAGATGTGGATGAGTGTGCCCAGGCTCTGCACGACTGTCGCCCCAGCCAGGACTGCCATAACTTGCCTGGCTCCTATCAGTGCACCTGCCCTGATGGTTACCGAAAGATCGGGCCCGAGTGTGTGGGTGAGTCCAGGGAGCAGCTTCTCTAGTCCCGGCTCTGTGCCCTGGTCTGGCCCTTGCCCTAGCACCTGACCCCCATTCAACCCAGGCTTCCCCTCACCCCCGTCACCTCTACCCTCCTGTCATCAGACACAGAGGATTGTGTGGGGGTGTGTTTGGGAGGTGTCCTGGCTGACCCTGCCCAATTCAGCTCCCCGGACACAGGCAGGATCATGGGTGGTGAAGCCTTGAGTCCCAGCTGGCTTGGGCCCACCTGCTCTCTGCCCTCTTTCTGCCTCTATCCCAGACATAGACGAGTGCCGCTACCGCTACTGCCAGCACCGCTGTGTGAACCTGCCTGGCTCCTTCCGCTGCCAGTGCGAGCCGGGCTTCCAGCTGGGGCCTAACAACCGCTCCTGTGTGGGTGAGGCTGGGCCAGGCCAGGCTCCTGGGTCCTGCGCAGGGAGGTGTGAGATGGGGGTGCTCCCTCCCTGACCAGCCCAGGTAGAGTGGGGGCTCTGGGCCGCTCCTCGGCTTTCACACCTTCTGTTTCTCCTGGCACCCCCAGATGTGAACGAGTGTGACATGGGGGCTCCATGTGAGCAGCGCTGCTTCAACTCCTATGGGACCTTCTTGTGTCGCTGCCACCAGGGCTATGAGCTGCATCGAGACGGCTTCTCCTGCAGCGGTGAGGGCTGTACCCCTGCTGTGTGCTCCTCTGTGGGTCCCTAGGCCCTACCTGTGCGTGCCTCCTGCCACACAGTCTCCATCTGAGGCCTCCAAGTCGAGTCACTGTGCACCCAGCTGCCTCCTGGGTACTCCACCCTGCTGGCTGTGGAGCACTCCCAGTCTGGTGGGGAAGGCACAGGGAGAGGCAGTGAGGTCCCTACTGAAGCCTACTGGAGAGAAAGGATGTGGGCGCCACTCTTCCCGCGTGTCAGGCTCACCTGCATTTGAATTTTGCAGTAGGACAAGTCACTCTTCTCTGAGCCTGTTTCTTCTTCTATAAAATGGAGTGTCTTGAGGGTTAGATGAGACAGTGTGATAAAGGGGCTCCAGCAAGTCTCAAGCTGCAGTGCTTGAAAGTGAATGAACTGCCACTTAATGAGACCCTCCCCTCTCGGTGTATTCCCTGACATACTTGGCCTCCTTCCTCTCAAGAATCCTAGGAGGTATGGTTTTTTCCTTCCTCTACAAAATGAGGACATTAATATCTCCCTCCACATTTGTTGGGAGGATTACATAAAAATAAGCACAAAATCCTGGGTAAATGGTGACTTTCATTATTCAGCTAAGAGAAGTTAATGACCTGGCCAAGTTCATAACACCCAGGATGAGATGAGGTCAGGGCTCCATCCCAGTCTTCTCTCACCCTGTGAACTGGCATGTACCTCCTATGTTATGCTTTGCTGCAGGATGAGGCCTCATTGCTACGTGGCAGCATGAGGGGAACAAGAGAAGGGATATGGTCTGCCTGTGCAGCTCACAGTTGGCTGGAGGTGATCACTGGGTGGTCGGGCTGATTGTGGGCTGCAGGACGTGGGCAGGTTACAGCACAGGCCTAGCCCACACGACTCATCTAGTCTAATCCACCCATTTTACTGATTGGGAAAGTGAGATTCCCACAAATCAGCTGGTAGGATTCACACCCAAGTCTCTAGATTCCCAGTGCTTTTATTTAGTGCTTTCTTCCAGTCCTGGGCAGAGAGAAGTCTGTGAGCTGGGGCAGCCTGGGCAGAGTTTTCTCTGAATCTTCCATCTTCCTGCCGAGCCTTGCAGGACTTGTCTCATCCCCCTGTCTTTCTGCATTCAGCCTAACATGGGGCTGGGTCCTCTTACGAAATGTCTGTGGGACTGAATGGCGAGGACTGCCCTTGACCTAGGGTCCCCATCCCCATGCTTCCTCAGATATTGATGAGTGTAGCTACTCCAGCTACCTCTGCCAGTACCGCTGCGTCAATGAGCCAGGCCGCTTCTCCTGCCACTGCCCACAGGGCTACCAGCTGCTGGCCACGCGCCTCTGCCAAGGTACAGGTTACCCAGGTGGGATGGGCAGGATGGTGTCAGGAGCTGGCAGCCTGACGCCCTGGATTCCAGCCCCTCTCCCCTGGCACAGACATTGATGAGTGTGAGTCGGGTGCACACCAGTGCTCTGAGGCCCAAACCTGTGTCAACTTCCATGGGGGCTACCGCTGCGTGGACACCAACCGCTGCATGGAGCCCTATGTCCAGGTCTCTGACAAGTGAGTCATTTCAATGCCTGGCTCCCACAGAAACTATGTCTCCCAGGGGGCTTTGGGGCTGACTGGCATCTATTTGGGCCAGTGAGCACCCTTGAGGGCTGATGGGAATTGTAGTCCTCTATGACAACCAGTCACAGGGGTGGGAGGATCCTTTTGGGATTCGTTCCCTTTGCAGGATAGGTGAAATTGGTGGTGGGGGGGGGGGGACAGGTAAGGACCTCATTTGTGTCCCCCACCTGGGGGTCTCTAGCCGCTGCCTCTGCCCAGCCTCTAACCCTCTCTGTCGAGAGCAACCTTCGTCCATCGTGCACCGCTACATGACCATCACCTCAGAGCGGAGCGTGCCCGCCGACGTGTTCCAGATCCAGGCGACCTCTGTCTACCCTGGTGCCTACAATGCCTTTCAGATCCGTGCCGGAAATTCGCAGGGGGACTTCTACATTAGGGTAAGGCTTCTGCACCCTCAACTGACAAGCACTCCAGGAAGCCATAAGGGGTACTAGGCCAGGCTATGCCCTGCCTCTCCTCTCAAAGCCCCGCCCCTGGGAGTTTGGGTTTCTGAAGGAAGACGGGGTATTCTAAATTCTCGTGGTACGGAGAGATGGTTAAATGCAATTCTAACGAAGCACTTGGACCCCGGGGTTTGAATCCCAGTACTGGTTTCCCATATCTGATCTCAATTTCTTCACCCACAAACCAAGGGAATGGTGTGTGCAGGGGCCTGGGGTCGGAAAGTCCACTCCTTGCTGGTGGAGCTGTTAAGGTGGGAGGGGCCAGGAGTGGGTCACAGTGAGTGGCAGCGGCTTGCTTGGGTCTCAGCAGGAGTTTGTCTGGTACCAGCGCTTCTCTTTCTTTTTGAAATCGAATGCTCTGGGCCATTAATGCTCTGGGCAGTGGCTCAAGCCTGTTATCCCAGCACTTTGGGAGGCCAAGGTGGGTGGATCACCTGAGGTCAGAAGTTTGAGACCAGCCTGGCCAACAGGGTGAAACCCCACCTCTACTAAAAATACAAAAATTAGCCAGGCATAGTGGCATGTGCCTGTAATCCCAGCTACTACAGAGGCTGAGGCAGGAGAATCGCTGGAACCCGGGAGGCGGAGGTTGCAGTGAGCTGAGATCACACCATTGCACTCCAGCCTGAGGGACAAGAGGGAGACTTCATCTCAAAAAGAAAAAGAAGAAAAAAAAAGAAATTGAATGCTCTGAAGGAGTCTGCTCACTTTGGGTCACCAAAGGTCCCACCACTCCCAAGAGCAACATGTGGCCTTGAAACATCAGTTAGCCTGGGTTAGACAAAACTAGCTGGAAAGGGTGGGAAGAGCCCCAGCGGGAGATTTCTGAGTCGGGGAGCGGAGACGTCAAGGGTGTCAAGGAGCCAGATGAGAGCCCAGACGAGAGCCTAGGGTCACAGCCTGGCCAGGGCTGTCTCTCTACCTCACGGCCATGGGGCAGGGAGGTGACACTGGGGCAGAGGCCTAGCACACAGGCTGACACAATAAATATGTCCCCCCACCCACTGCCCTGCAGCAAATCAACAACGTCAGCGCCATGCTGGTCCTCGCCCGGCCGGTGACAGGCCCCCGGGAGTATGTGTTGGACCTGGAGATGGTCACCATGAACTCCCTCATGAGCTACCGGGCCAGCTCTGTACTGAGACTCACCGTCTTCGTGGGGGCCTACACCTTCTGAGGAGCAGGAGGGAGCCACCCTCCCGCAGCTCCCCTAGCTGAGGAGCCTGTTGTGAGGGGCAGAATGAGAAAGGCAATAAAGGGAGAAAGAAGGAGTCCTGGTGGCTGAGGTGGGAGGGTCACACTGCAGCAAGCCTCAGGCTGGGGCAGGCTGGGACCTGTGGGGGGCAGGCCAAGTCCACCTAAGTGGGGGTCTCTGTGTGCTCAGGCCCAGGGGGCCCCATTGACAGGAGCTGGGAGCTCCGTACCACAGGCTTCAGTCACCCCGAAAGCAGAGGAGGTAACGAGGAGGGCGGACTCCAGGCCCTGTCCCAGAGATCTGGACTTGGCCGCTTTGCAGGGGTCCTGAGAAACTCCACTCTGGATAGTGTAAGGAGGCCCTGGGTTCCAGTCCTAACTCTGTCTCAAGCTGTACATTTTGATAAGTCCTAGTGGTTCCCTGGGCCTGTTTTTCTATAAAATGAGGCAACTGGACTGTTAGTGGTTTTTGAGCTTTTCTTTTAGGAAGTTTTATTTTTATTATTTTTAATTTCGCCAGTAAGTTGTATTTATTTTTCCTTCTGCACTTCTAAGGAAGTTTTATTTGATAAGGACCAACTGATGATATAAAGTCGATCCAAAGCTGCAATGCCCCACTGAGTCCATCTCCCGGACCAGGGAATCCCAGTCCTAAGCAGCTTGGTTTAAAAATCACTGGACCAGATGTTATCTCTGGTTCCTGCATATTTCACAAGGCCCCCAGTGCCAGGCATCTCCTATATAATACATATATGGCTACAAACACTTAGATTCTAATTGTACCCCAAACGATGCTGGCTGAAAGGCTGATTATCCTGGGGGTGAGGGGACAGATGGGAGCTGGGGGCCGCTTCGTGGCATAAGCTCAGGTCAGGGGGCTGTAGCTGCAGTAGAGCTGGGACAAAGTCCTGCTCAGAGCAGGCCCCAGATTCCTGCAGGAAGAGAGGCAGTGAGGGTCACGCCCTGGGCTTAGGGCAGCCCCGGCCCCCACCACTCCCTCCAGGTTGTGCCTCGTCCTCACCTCTGCAGACGCCCACACTTGATGGTGCTCAGTAGTGTCTCTTGTTCCCTGGGGGTTGCACAGGCATCATAGGCGGCCAGGAGGCTGGGGGGCAGGGGTTTGAGTTTCTGAGGCTGACAGTGGTCCACACCAGGCCAATACCATGAGGGGCCAGCATGGGATAGAGGATTTGGGCCACTGCCCCACTTCCTGAGCCCGGCACACAAGGCCCCACACCAGCCTGCCTATCCTCCCTCCCTGTGGGAACTCTGAGGCAAAACCAGCAAGGGCTCCAAACTGTCACCCCCAGTCCCCTTTAACGGCTCAGCCCCCTTCTCTAGGAAGCCTCTGCTCCACCGGTGGGATGTCTCCCTCCCTCCTGTGGCCTCCACTGCCTGGGACTCTGTGTGGGCCTGCTGGCTTCCTCCCCATTTGACCTCCACGAGCACCCTGGACTTCAGCCAGATCTGTCCATCTCTGGGTCTGCACAGCCCACACAAGGCATGGATTAAGGTGAATTCCATGCATGGAGGGCAGGGGCTGAGGACACCTAAGGGCCCTCGGGGGCCTACCTGGCAGGGGTGCTGTATCGATCTACCAGGGCTGCTGCCTTCTCCCCACTCACTCCGCGCACCTGCATCAGCTGCCGCGCAAACACTTCTCGCACCGACTGGGCCTGGGTTTGGGGAAGGGCTGGATCAGGGGTGATCTGGGCCGGGCCCTGTCAGGGAAGCAGGGAAGAGGCAGTACCTTGTTCTTGATGGCTCTTGCGTTGAAGTCACTGAAGGTGAGGAGTGAGCAGAGAGGGTTTGGAGAGGGCATGGCCCCTGATTCAGGGTTCCCAGGGGTTCCCCAGGGGCGGCTGCGTAGGGTGTGGCCCTGAGGGAAGAAGGAACTGAGGCCAGGCTGGAGCTTGAAAGGACAACTCCAGCCAGCTCCTGCCCAGTCCTCGGCCGCAGGGGGTCAGCCTGAGAAATGGGGATCTCACCCACCTTGCTTCTCTTGGGGACGCACAGGCAAGGCGAATTCCTTGCAGGCCCTGCTCACCTGGTAGAGTCTCCGCAAGCCCTGTGTCAAGAGGGCCAGGTAGGCGGCTGACTCCTTAATGTCTGCTGTGCGCTTCACAAAAAAGCCATCAATGACCTGGGAAAGAAGACCCAAGAGAGGGAAGGTGGCTCCTGACCCAGACCACAAACCACAGACCACAGGGGCCCCTGCCTGCCTGGCTCTGCCCTCCCAGCTCACCTGAGTGTTGGTGACAGCCTGCAGCAGTGTGCTCTCTGGAAGGCTGAGGTTGTGGACTGAGCCATGCTCTTCCACCAGGTATACCCGGCGCTCCAGGCCGCAGCGCTTCAGCCGGAACTGGGGAAGTGGACAGAATAGGCAGGGAGGGTCCGGCTGGATGCCCATGTGCCTGGGCAGCCATCATGTCACACTCAAAATGGTGCTGTGACCCTGGTCCCAGCAGTTAGCCTCTGCATCCTCCCTAGCCTCTCCCCCTGCCTCAGAGGGGCCTCTGTGGCTTTGCTCATACTGACACTCTTGCCTAGAAAGCCCTTCCTCCATCTCTGAACACTGCCCATCCTTCAAACCTGCCCTGGGCCTGTATGTGGCCTCTGTGACTATGGGGTCCGCCCAGCAGCAAGTACCAGGGTACAGCGTCTGTATATCCAGTCCTGGAGATTTGAGCCTTGTTTATCCAAGACTAAGGAATTGGGTACCCAAGGGATCTTTAATCTGCTCCTGAGCTCAGCCCAAGAATGCAGGTACCCTGCCTTCCTACTGTGCGCCTGGATGGGCCTGTGAGGGTCTAATCCTGGAGCAGCCACAGGGTGGGTGTGGCTGGAGTCCAAAGGGCTCTGCCTCAAGGAGGCTGCCAGAAGTGCTCTGGCCTGAAAAGGGGGCTCCCTAGCCTGGCAAAGCCAGCGAAGTTACCTTCTGCTCCCGGAAGCGGCCATCAATGATGCTGCTGCACAGGTCATCCAGCCGCTTGCGCTCCACGATGTGGTCCAGCACCAACTCCCCAGGGCTTGCTGCTGAGGAGCCAGGAAGGGTCCCATTAGCTTGCCATGCCCCCCCCACCAGGCCCTGCCCCTGGCGCCGGCCTGTCCATGGCCCTTCACCTGGATCTCTAGGATTGGTCTCCTGTGCCACCCACACAAAATCCCCAACATGCAGCTTGCGCACTGTGTGGGTCACGTGCAGCCGCTGTAGCTCTCGGAGCAGCTCCGGCCTGTGCCCCGCCCTGGAGTGGCAAGGAAGGATGCCTAGATCAGGGCAGGGCAGGGCAGTGCCTACCCCCCAGCTTCCTCTGATAGTCTCTGTTTCTTCCCACCTCACTCACCCCCGGGTCTCGCCGATGTCCACACACAATAGTATCCTGTACTCTCCAGGCCTCAGCTCCAGTGGTGGCTGCTGGACCCCCGCTTCACTGGCACTAAGTGGGGGTGGTGTGTGAGGACAGAATCCCTCATGCCAGGGTGGTTGCCCTGTACCCACACCACCCAACACCCACCCACAGTAGGGGGGCAGCCACAGCTCAGCTGCAGGGTTTTGGCCTCATTTCCCATCCCCTTCTCCCCATTTTCTCCTCTTCTCCCCTCCTCCTCACAGCTCTGCTGAAGCTGATCCTGGCACTGCTGTCTCCTCCCCAGGGGGCTCCTCGGGCCTGATGCCCACATTCAGCAAGCTCAGGCCTTCCGATTCAGCCAACTTCTGGGCCAGCTCCAGGCCCTCTGGGGTCAATGAGTACCTGGGAAGCAGAGGGGACAAACATAGCTCTCCCTTTTTCACTCATTCCTGGCAGGCTCTCCTGCCTGCCCCCAGCTGGGCTAGCCTCACTGCCCCCTTGGCGCCCTGCACAAATGACCCCAGTGGCTCCTGCTCCTCCCGGTCTTCTTGGCTCTTAGAGCAGTTCCTTGGATCTGCTCAGTGCCATTCTCAGATCTGCAATAAGTCAGTCTCAGACAATTTCCTTTCTCCCGTCTTCACTAATGCTGTTTCCTCCTCCTCAGAATACTTATCCTGCATCTCTACCAGCCAAATCCTGAAACGTGTCGAATGTTATCTCCTCTGAAAAGGCTTTCTACTCCTTCAAAACCCATGGTGCCCTCGCACTCCCACTGTTGCAGGGTTGGGCTGTTCTCTCCAGGTACCCTCCAGGCACTCCAACAGCGGGAGCTCCTGAGGGAAGGCCCATGTCCCCCAACCTCAACAGCATCAGCTCTGGGAGTTGTTGAGTGATTCTACGCCCCATGAAGGAGGTCATGCACGCTCTCCCATCCCTGCCTCCTGCATCTCCTGCAGTTGGCCCCACCTGGCTGGCTGGTGTGTCCTGAGGACCAGGTTCCTGTGGAGGAGGGAGCGGAGGGCTGGCCAGGGTCGAGCACTCCCAGGGGCTACCTGTGGATCGGAAAAGAGACCCTCAGAGAGCACCTGTTGCCACCATGAGTCCATGTTCCCTGTGTCCCCAGCCATGGGACACACATGTGTCCAATGCCAGAAAGGGCAGTCTTGGGTGGGCTCCAGAGCCGCTTGGGCCTGTCCTCCCTGACCCCTGTGCTCACCCTGGAGGTCTTCTGAGCACACCTCTGCAGCAGCTCCTCCTTGGTTAAGAACTGGTGGCCGTTAGGATTCTGAAACCATGGTAGAAGAGACAGGGTAGGCTCAGTGCCAGGGACCCTCCTCATCCTGCTCAGGTGGCTGGGATAATCTTTGCCTGTCTTGTCCTGGCCAGACATCTCTGGGAACCTCCCACCCCACTGCCTTGGTTCCACCTCCCAGTGTAGCTTGGTGCTCACCAGGTGCTCCTGGTAGAGCAGCAGCAGTATCACTCGGGCTCCTGAGTACCGAGCTGGCCAGTAGCTGCCAGAGCCTCCCACTTTGGGCTGGGCAGGAACCTGAAAGGAACAGAGGAGCTCTGAACATGAAAGCCAGCCAGTCATCTTCCGGTAAGTCCCTGGCAGGGCTGAGGTTTCACAGGCTTTGTGGCACTGGGTAAGTCACTCAGTTGAGTCTCAGTTTCCTTCTCTGTAAAATGGGCCAGGTGATGACCCCCTGCAAATCTGGGATGAGACAGCAGGCAGTTTGGGGCAGCCGGTGGGGTGTCTGCCCAGCCTGGCCTCAGGTCTATGACACGGGGCAGGACAGGAGTGGTTAGACAGGAAAACTGAATGATGACCCTGTAACTAACTAAGCCTTGCTCCCTAAGTAGCTTGATCATGGAATTCTCTCATTGGCTGTTACCAATATTCCCATTCGCAGGTTAAAATACTAAGTCTAAAAGAGGATAAGTCATTTGCCCAAGGCCAGGCATCGCTAGTGAGATTCAGACTCAGGCTTGCCAAATCCCCCAAGCCAGGAAATCATACTCCCACACTCCCACTTTGCCTGCCACTCCCCTTGCTCCTTCCTCACTGGCATGGAAGAGTCCTGGACTTCTGCAGGTCGCCCCTGC